TAAATTAAACACTGGGTTACACTGCACCCATGGGTGTACCACCTAAAGTGCAGCCTATGTTAGTTACCTTGAACTAAATTAAACACTGGGTTACACTGCACCTATGGATCTCTAACTATAGAAAATTCTGTGTTACTCTACACTTTAAGGTGTGTTAAAAAACAGAATCAGACATGCTAAAATTAAACAATGGTTCACACTTCAATCCTGAGCTCACCTATATTCCTACATGCAGTAGCTTTCAGTTAATGGAGCTCCATTAATTTCAAGCTGCTGTGTGATGGAATTAGTCATAAGATGGGCAAATTACATAGGAGACTGTAGCAATTAAAGAAATACTCACAGAGGTATTTGATTCCTAAAGCGCACTCCGACGGATCGTCTGGACGCTGTATGAACTCAATGAATACACATTACCAATGATCTTGACTACATGATGTTAAATCAAGTTGCAAGTATAAAAATAATAGTTGCTTCTTACTAACATCAACACGAGCCTGGTAAAATGTAACTCTGTTAAGGATCAAATTTTTTGCCGTGTTCACATCTTCATACGGCTTCTTGAATTTATCCAGTGGTAGGGCAAGTTCTACAATTTCTTCAAGGTGTTGAAGGATTTCCCGATCTGTTGGACCTGAAACACAACAGCATGAGAGTAAATTAAAAAAGAAAAAAAAAAAGATTTTACCTAAGACCTATGGAAAACATCTCTTGAAAACATTATTTTAGGAAATGTCTTACCAGACATTGAACTGACATGGATATTCTGCTTTGTAATAGCAGACTGTTGATCTGACTTCTTCTTTACTGAGATGCGATCGCCATGAAATGACTCTGGGCCATAGTTTTTCAAGGCAGCATTGGCCTCTGCTAGGGAATCTACCCTGTATGCAAGAAGACCAATGGATGCCAACAACTGTTCAGTGTTGCGCATCTCCATATGGAGAGCACAAAGTTGAATGTTGCAAAGCTCTTCGTCCAAAAGAAAAACCAGATCATCTCGTATACCAGTTGATCTACAAGACAATTTCAAAGAATGATTGATTTTCTGAAGCAATGAATTATTTCATGTTTTTCTCTAAAAATGTTTTTCTTTTTCTTTTTCAATTACCAAACTATGAGTACTCCTTTCCTGACAGTATGAAAACAATTTTTGGCAACCTTCCAAGTTTGGCAAAAGATCCTGAATGAGGATTTTAGTTTACTAGCAACAATTTAAAAAAAAAACCCCACACTACACACTTAATTTCAGTTCATGCTTTAGTACAAGTCATTTCCCCGTGGCTTACAAAATTCATTTTGTTATGTAACAGTAAGAAAATCCCCTTTATGTGTTTGAATGTAATTTAATATGACAATGATCAAATGCCTACACACCTTCCCATGTTGCATTTGCTTCTGAGGCAATCCAGGCATGTCTCATCTGGAGCAACATCATGGCATTTGCAACCCTGACAAAAACAGGCACACTATCAAATAATTTATAATATTATAATTTCAGATAGAACTACACATTTATCATGCTTCCGATTATCTTCTTCAGAGTTCATGCAGATTTTTGGATCCAAAATTCAAGACTTTTCCCAGACCTTTTTTCCAAAACATCAATTTATTTTTCCAGACTGAAGATGGTCAAATAGGTGATCAATAGAGATCTTGAAAAATGCAGAAACCAAGCTTCTTTCATGATGCACTGCAAATGTACAATAACCATGGTGCAATTGTGAAACTTCTCATTCTGTGATTGAATGTCTTAGCTACAGGCGAGATTGAATTGACCACAGGGGAAAAAAATGAACTTATTAAGCACTTTTTGTAGCTATAAAAAAAACTCCAGACTTGAACTATTTTTCTAGACATTATCTTCAATTTCAAGACTCTTTCCAGGTCTGGAAAATCAAGACTTTTCCAAGAATTTATGACTCTGTGTGAGCCCTGTTCTTTTTACAGTACATGTATTCATACTTTCAGTGATTTTTAAATGTTCTAAAAGCAGAATGACCTTTAGAGAAGTACTTTACAACTTTTTTTGACTGAATTAAAGCTACTTGATGTTTCTATCACTCACTAATTATTTTCCCAAATATTGGTAAAGATCAAAGTCATCTGAAATCACTGTAAAAAAGTTGATGAACTGATGCAGCACTTTTATGTACCTCAACTTTAACAGCACAAGTTGCAGTTGCCCCATACTCCTAACATGAATGAAGCATTCATCTTCTTCACCAAAAGAAGTACCAAGGTCTTGTAGTCCAGTACAACTAAGTTTGATAACAGAAATGGGAAAGCAAAAGTTAACATGCTAAACTTTCCAGGAAATTAATCTCTAATGTATCTAAAGAAAAGGGTAGTCAAATCAATTTCTGACGTAAAATAGTAATAAATTCCAGGTTTTATTTCTTGCTGCTGCAGTTAAACCTTGAACATGTTTTACAATATAAAAAACTCTTAATTTACTATAGTTTGACTACTGCTTCAATCTAGTTCTAGTCAGACTACCAACTGGGTAGAAACACAATAAATTGCTATAAATAGTATCATGAACAAGAAGTTGACTTTTAAAGCAAATTCCAAGACTAACATTGATTCTTACCCAGAAATTCAACGGTGTAATGTCTACCATCAACTGTCATTCCTTTTTCCTTTAATATTTTCTTCTGGTGGTTGATGTCCTCAAAAAGAATCTTGAGGTTGTCTCTGTCAACAAACAAAAACCAAAAATCTATACAGTCATTATTATATTTAGTGCATTAAAGCCAAATTAGGGATATTGATATCAATCCACTTAGATCTCAGAGTGGATGCATGACCTGGTGATATTGCAACTGAGTGGGGCTTACAAAAATCTGTCATTGTGTTATTTAAGTTAAATGCACATACAACCACAAGCATATTCTAGCCAGAAGGTAGTAAAGAGTTCAAGCAAGTTGCAATTCACAAACCTGTCTTCTTTACAGTTGGCAATTGTCAATGTGTAGACTGATTTTGCACTTTGCTGGCTATATACAGCACCATCACGGGGAACAATTCCAAACAACATATGAGCTCTACCTGCAAAACAATTTTTTACACTAAATTAGTCAAGACAAAAACTGCACCCTTCACCAACCCATTTCACCTTACACATTATTATAATGACCACCTTCCATACAAAGAACTGCTTGCAAGGCCAAAAAAATTTAACAGTTATAGTTATTTTGATTTGGAAGTACAACACACACACACACAAAAAAAATATGTGGATGATTATCATACGGCTTCCAGCATATTTCACCAGCTGAAAAAGAGCTTACCACTGGCTGAAATTGCTCTGGAAAACAGACCTAGGGTAATTTTGAAGACGCAGTTGAGTAAAACGCCCGCTTAAGTAATAAAAAAAAAGCCTGCTTATCTTTTCCTGTACAAGGCTTCGCTTACGAGAATAACTGAATAAAACAAAAGAAAGAGCTGCTATAAACATTGAGGCTCGCGATGGAATAGTTCTTTTTTTGTTCTTTTATTCCCTTAGCCGGGGCGCCAAGTATGAATATTAATATACCGACGTAAGACCAACGTAACTAAACATCTTACCCCCGTCCTTCTGAGCCCTGTGATGTTTATCACGGATTGCCACGTTTTCGAAGAAACTCTCGCCATCGCCTGGAAAAGGACAAGCTTCCAATCAGGAACTCTCAGGCACGCCACGTACTTCGACATTGTGTCGTCGCCAACTAGCTCTTCCACACTCCTCTTTACTCCCATTTTTACAGCCATCTCTTCGACAATTTCATTGACGATGGCCTTCGCTTCTGGGTCGCCAAATGCGCACATGTTCGAAAGCACCATCGTCAAACTTTCCCTGTTTCTTTCGCACACGTTATGCACGTCCTTGATGACGCGACTGCTTCGCTGCTTCATCAACAGCACCTTTTCTGGAGTATCCAAATCTTCCTTTTCGCTGATCTCCTTTAGATTTGGGGAAACATTCTTTTTTTCAGCTCTTTGCGAGTTTCCACTGTTTGGGGGTGTCATGGCCACAGATGATGTCTTGTTCGTTGGTGTCGTTGGCATTTCCAAGCATCGTGAAGCACGTGGTCGTTCTTTGTTTGCTTGGCCTTCATTTTCTTCGTCGATAGACATTTTACTGAGATATACTGAGTTCAGCAAATCTCTCAGCTGCGAAATGAACTCAGAGCTTTCTGAAGAGGAACGGCGAAGCAGAGTGGTTATCAACCCAAACGAGGAACAGACAATTTCCGTTGCATTAGAGGACTTCTTGTTCGAGTAATGGTGGCCATCTAGCAGCCGAATGTGGGCACTGTCGATTCTTTGAAAATCGCTTGGAAAACTGGCGACAACAGGCGACCGCTTAAAGTATTGCGTCGGCGTTGATCCACAAACTTTCGAACTTAGAATGAACTAAGTCAATTGTGGACTTAATTCAGGGCTGATGACCGGAGTGAAGGGCGAGAAACCCTTCCTAGGTGCCATCTCTACTGCTACTGGATCACGCGTTTGAAATACGAAACTGCAAAGAAAAGATAGGCGGGCAAAAACCATGACATTCGAATATCGACATAGTAACATTATCCAGCTGCTAACTCGAGAGTGTTGATAATTTAAGTTAGTCGGCCCATGACATATTTAATGAGATTAAATCAAATTAACTTCGGGATTATCACACCTGAAAAAGACGAGCCCAGCGGGCTTAATACTTACAGTGCAAAGCACTTGTGTCTTCTCATGTTTGCAAGTGTTTTCCGCTTTAGCTTCAGCATGTATTGGAATTTATGGATCAGGATGTTTTGCCGCAAAAGGAAACCCATCGGTAGTCATAAATATTGACATGTTATAAATGGCTATTCACACTTTGCCGGGTAAAGAATTCTCTTCCAAAATACGTTTTTGTTTTTAATATTTTATTTTTTAATATTTTACCAAAAGTTTTCTTGGAAATTATAGTTAAAATGATAATGTTTAATCCGACATGGAAAAAAAATTTAAAAAAACTGGCCCTCGAAAGTCTACCGCATCCTTCAGTGCTATGATCGATTCGCCCCATGTGTGCACACTTGACTTTTTCTCGCGCATGAATAACAATAGTTTATATTTACATAATCAATAATATTGTTTATGTTATTGAGTAATACAGAGTTTTTGCTTGGTGCAACTAGAGAAAATGTTAAATGGGACGAATAAACGAGAATGGTCTAAGAATAGGAAAAGATTCAGAAGGTCGCACGAATACTGGCAATTTCCTTCAGGTTTTGGGTTAATTTAGGCTGGTATATTGAACTGAGAGTTTACCTATGTGTAATGCATTAATCATATGGATAACAATCGATCTTTATATCGCTGATCTGATGAGAGAAAGCCTCTCCGATAAACTTAAGTGTTTGTATTCATGAAATGTGATTCAGCACAGCTTTCATGTCATGGGCAACCTCCTTATTGAAAAGACCGAGTTAATATTTTTATTGGCTTAACGGCCGCCTTAATGAAAGTCATGGAAGCAGTGTTTCCTTTTCAAGGGTCAGGATAAGGTTTTTTCATGAAATGAAATCAATGGTATGAACACCGGTAGCCAATCCAGACCATATTACGAGACTCCAGGATTTTATACAACCATACACCAATAACTTGTTTTCGAGGGCACAATTGGCGTGGGTGTTCTTCAGGAAGCTTGTGGAGTCTATGACGTAACCACTAGAAGCCAATCCAGGCCAAACAGCAGTATCCTCGTTTGACCAAGCATTAGAATGGTCATCACCGGGATGTTAAGTAAAGATTTGCTAAGTTTCAATTGGGAAGATGCACCTGCCTCAGTTAGAAGACGAGCCGATCAAGCTTTCTATGACTATAGCGATAACTCCTACCAAGCTCTCAGGGAACGAAACGACTTTGAACTTGTAAAAAAAAGAGGATATTTGGCAATACCTGGAAGGTCTAATTAAAAATTGACCTTCATTAGTTTTAGATTAATAAAGAGCTTGAGGAGAATCTATTTGATAAGGCGGCGTTTAGTGTTTCATATTCCGCTTTGTTCTGTATTATTGTTGTGCACATGTGGACTAAGAAGTCCTTCCCACGAGAGTCTTAAATCAGTAGTTAAATAAGGGGTCAGATTTCCCTCTGCACTTATCTTCCTCCGATTTCATGAAAGGTTAAACTTCGGGAAGAAACAGTTCTTCCAGGACACCTTGTTCATTTGGACTGAGCTTCCACTTTGACATGGCAAATTTATCTTTGGCTTGTTTTACAAACGCTTCGAACATCACCGATAGAGAAGCAGATGTCCTATCGGTCGCTGGTTCTATAATCATAATCATTATCAACACCATCACTTTTCCCTTCACAGTTCTGCTGAATCTGCTGGTGATAAAAGCTGTGAAAACAACGCCTCGACTCCAAACCAACAGCAACATCTTGTTAGCCTGTTTAGCGGTGACTGACGCCTTAACTGGTCTCCTTTGCCAGCCATTGTTTATTCTGTGGACATTATTCCTATTATTCGGTCTTAGTAACAGTGACACGGTTGAACTTTTCTTTTTCACATTTGTAGCTGTAATGGTAACAGCTTCATTTTTTCATATGATGTTGGTTACCTTCGAGAGACTCATAGCCATCAAATTTACGATGCAATACTCAAACATTGTTTCCTATAATAACCTGAAGATAGCAGTGCTATCGATTTGGATCCTTTCTTTAATCAAAGGGATTGTAAGAATGACTATCTTCATAGTATCCCTTTATTTGACACGCCTTATCACTATTTCAAATATTCTTTTTCTCTTTTTCACTTACTTCACCATCTATAGAGAGACACGTCGGCACCAACAAAGGATGAAAACTCAACAACTTCCCCAAGATGTAGCAGGAAGGTTTGTCAAAGAGAACAAGGCGCTTAAGACAACTGTGTTTATAGTTGGTGCTGCTACTGTTTGCCTTCTGCCAATTTGTTTTTGTTTTATCATAACAGTTACAGGCGTCTATGGGATTTGCCCCATCAAAGTACGATGGATGGTAACATGTGCCTTGTTAAACTCGCTTGTTAATCCTCTAATTTACTGCTGGAGACAAAAAGAAATGAGAAAAGTCATTTTTGGACTAAGAAACCAGATCGTGAATGTAGATATCCAGTAAAGGATGGGAATGTAAAGAAAGGATTACAACTTCATTACTACGCGTGTAAAAATTTTTCTTACGTCTTTTCCAGCAACTGCATACTAATAAATGCCAATTAAGCTTTTGATCACGATAGATGATTGTCAGCCGCATGGAAAATTAAAACGTTATTTGTAATAATTATTTTTGATGCAATATTTGTTTGTCAAATTAAAGGAAACGCTTTCTTTCTGTTCAATGTTTCGAAATATTAACTAGGGGTTATTTTCTAACTTTTTTGTTTGTGTTTCGCTAAAGGTAAGCGTAAGCCTAGTATTGAAAAATAAACCTTGGGTCTCACATTTTTCCAGTGGTTGTTTTAGAAAAACTTCACTTTAGCGTTTGTGTGTTTCCACTTACCTTTTTCGTGCACATGAATTACGGTAATTCTTAATTCATGAGGTTGTTGATTTTGTTGGAAATAAGTTTGGTTGGACTTGAGAAAGCTAAAATATGGAGAAAAACTCAAAAGAGTCGTTTGAGGGAATATCACCTTTTCACCGCACTCAAATTACTATAAATCGTCATATCGCCATGATTAATGAGAAAATAGATAAAATAAGTGATTTTAGTCTAATTGATGTATAGTTCCGTTAACTTAGCATGAGTTAACGAGTTATTGTTAATTTGTGAGCTTCAATGAAAGTACTCTCAAACAAAAATTGTCCTCATCATATCGTAAAACAAACACCAAATTTCCACCATGAACAATGAAGATATCTCTTAACTAGATATTCCAAAGTGTTATCAATCGTAAAAAAATTCCAACAAACTTCTTAAAACGGGAAAACAAAGTTTTCTTAATGTAAATTTTGCTTGCATCACAAGCATCAATTTTCAAAAAATAACAATGCATTGATTTTCTGTGTTTTCGCTTTCAACAAAACACTAAAACTGAGACCGATATCAAATTAATTGAATTTCTAAAACGAACCGAAAACGGTGAGCTATAAACTCACAGAGATTTATCTATAGATGGTAATAGAAAATTTGCGATGCATATACTTGTCTGTAAGCCCTAGGACTATTGTTAATAATATCAAACAAAAATTGATATGAAATAATATGTAATCATTAACTGAGTGGGAGGGCTGGACGGGATAATATTTGGCTCGAGGTTATGACCTGCGGACCGAGCGCAGCGAGATCCTTGCTTCGTGACTGACAGCCAAGTACTTTCCCATCCGGTCTGACGAAACTCAGTTAATAAGAATTTTGTCAAATGACCGGGAAGAAATAGACGGGCGCATGCACGACAACCAATGAAAAGATTTAACAGTAAAAACGTTTCCTTGGTTTTTTTGAGTCCGGACAAGAAACTCACAATTCAGCGAAAAAACGCGAATTTTTTACTCTTTTAGTTTTTCTTTAAGTTTATGAAACAAAGCCGTGTGAGTGCAGGGCTGAACGGCTTTCATGTCCGGCCCTAAACACGTCAGTTTTCACATTGCCTTTCCATGGAATTGCACACCGGAGCCGTAAGGATCATATATCATGTTGCTTCCAATGCAAATCTAATATATGCTGTACCACTCACTTGCTCGTTAAATCAAAAATCATCTGCAATACGGTTTTCGTAGATAATCACTGATTGGCAAAACCTACATTTGCGGTATTGTTTCAACGTATTGTTGTTAGTGACGTGGCCTTCCCATAAGGGGCGGTTTCTTGAGGTCTCTTCGCCTTATAACTGATCTAAATCCATTGAACATAATTCTTAAAAAAGGCAAATAAAAATGATGATAATGATGTTGACTGTTTTCAACACAGTGAATGCGACTTTATGTTTGAATCGCATGAAAGGAAACGTTTAGTTACTGTTAATTTTTTTCAAGATAATAACTACCTCCTTTTGTCTTCTCAAAGTTATTTCTTGTTGTTTAGTTTTTTCCTGAAGCTTTGAGGCCAAGTAATGCGAATAAATGTCTAGGAATTGCATCTTTTCTTTAACTCGAAAGTCAAGGAGCACAAATAATGCCATGCAATGTTTGAGCCTATTGGACAGCTACTACAGCATTAGCTTGTAACCTTTCTAATCGAAAGGCAGTATATAATAATAATATTATTATTATTATTATTATTATTATTATTGTTATTATTATTATAGTAAATATATGAATATGAAAGCGAGCTTGTTAGCTCGGTTGGCAGAGCGCTGCACTGGCATCACAGAGGTCATGGGTTCAAATCCAGTTCAAGCCTGATTTTTTTCCAGACACCTAAATTTTCACTACTGCTCAAGTAGTGTTCTTACTACGAAGATCGCTTTCATGATCGTTTCTTAATGCGCAGTTCGTATGAATGATTTTCATATATTTACAGTCATTTATTCATCGTTTCACGGGTTTATTTGAAACCAACATAATGACCAGCTCCCAGTTAGCCTATTAGCTCAGTTGTAGAGCGCTGTACCGGTATCACTGAAGTCATCGCGTACAGGTCTGAGCTTATTTCAGGCCCTATTTTCACTGCTGTTCAAGTAATGTACTTACTGCCAAGATCACCTTCATATTAATTTCATAACCCGCAGTTCATATGTATGATTTTCAAATATTAAATCGCATGAAAGAAAGCAACGAAAACGATACATGAATACGACAAGGCCCGTTATCTAACGTATATCGGAAAGCTGAGTAAATTTTCAGCATTCTAAAAATCCAAACAATGAAAGATAAGACTTAACTACTAACGTTGCTCTCTTCATGAGTAAGTTATAATTAATATTATTATTAATATTATATTAATAATTATTAAATAATATAATAATAATTACATCAATATAATACTTATTATTAATATTAATTAATTAATATTACTATTATAATTAATTAATTATGTTAATTAAAATATGAATTAATAATAAAATATTAAATTACAATTTTTGAGTACTGAATAGTAAATGTAATCACTGCGCACGAGTCTATTGAAAGTAACCAGCATCAGATGAACACATGACGCCAATACCATCGGTGCCGTAAGATACAGGAAATGGAAATTTTCAACTTTTTCACTGTTACTGAGACCGAATAGTGGGGAAATCCTCCACAGAATCGAAGATGGCTGGCCAAAGAGACCAGTTAATGTGTGGTCAGCATTAGATTCCATCCACCAAAACCACCTCGGTCGAGAGGGACTGAGATGGAATATTTAATGACTTGCAAAACATAACCGAAGATTCTCGGAAATCCGCAAGTGATGTAGCCGAACATTCGAAGCTGTAAATCCCATGATTCTTGAGGAACAAACAGAAACAGCATAGCGAGAATTTTAAGTCGCGAACCATTGCTTGATGGTAGACACGCAGATAATTTAGGATACGTCAATTCTGTTGATGAGGCGCATAAACTTATTGCGGAATTTGAAACAGGATTGACGACGAAGTTTTCTTTCTCTAAAGCTGTCAAAGGTTTCGGGAACACCGGTATATATATATATATATATATATATATATTGATATAGCTCTTTGGCATTACAAATCTTTGCTATCGCTATTGTGCATTCTCACTAGTTTATCTAGTTCAAGTCCTCTGGCATGGCTTGGATGATACCACAATTTTGGAATCATTCGGGTTAACTTAATGCTTACACCTCCTTCCTCGGACAGAAGTCACAAAATACTCGGGGAAGATGCATGAGATATTTAAGGAGCAAAAATTCGTTTTTTACTGGTGTGCCTTTCCTAATTTTGGGAAGAGAAGTGTTCAATTGCCAGCGCGGCATAGATAGAACAGCTAGAGAGAAAAGGAAACGAAAATATGCAGAAGAAGTACTGTATATAATAATTTCTTTTTATCCTCAACCTTTGTGTTACTGTCAACTATGGCTTGCTAATTCGAAAGGTCAAATTCATGAATGGGTCATATGACATTGATCTCAGAATACTTTTATGACCAACGTGATAACAGTTCAATCTTGGCTAAATTGAAGATGGTTAGAAGTTAACAATTATAAGAACTTTTCACTAACATATGCTGCTGACAAAGGAGAAAATATATGCAATTCTGCATTTTTTGCTTTCTATCAAGCAATCATATATTGGCTCCTTATCACACTATGACACTTCCGTTTTGTCACATTCCAAAAAATAACTTGAGAAATACACTGTCACTCATCTTACACTGTTATATCTACCTATTACAGAAGGCTGGAAACAAAGATTTTGTTTTCAAGAAAATAAGATTTCTTGTCCAAGACACAAGGACGTTTGACTGCAAAACACAGATAAAAATGCGAGAAATTTTATTTCTTTCAGAGAACAAGGTAGTTCTACTCATGTATAAACAGAACAAATCTGGTTTAATAAATCAGTTATGCGGCATGACTCCTTTTCTTCCATCCCCACTCAAAACAAGCAAACACACTTATAGACTGAGGTTCCAGTCTGGTCTGCAAATGAAAAGGAGGAAGGTGATCACTGCAAAATTAAGCATTAGGGTTCTTATTTATAACATATTGATTATTGTATACAGATATCAAGAAATTAAGGTTGCAAGTGGCAGCCAGCTGAGTTATAGTTTGAGTTTTATCAAATCTATTACTTTGTTAAATTTAGAGTAACCTTGTGTTGAGAGAGGGAAATTGAGGAGCTGTAATATACTTATCATCAATTAGGGACCACAAAGAAAAATTTATTTATAGAGACTTTTGAAGGAGAGGGGTAAGACTTGTGACAAGCTGGCAGACATATACTAGATAAACTTTACTGCTAAATGGGTTACAATATAAAGTGCTCAGTATTTGGATCAGCTATGGCTCAACTTAAACTTTGCTTTAGCTTCAAGTTTAATCCTTTGTGGTTTCCTTTCTCTGTGTTTGTTTTTCAAGTTATGTTACACAAAAGAACAAAAAAATGACAAGGAATGCTTTTGAATATTAAGAGGCTGGAATAAGCAAGAAACCAAAACTGAATTTTAAACAGTACAAAGTTAATTTGATCTTCCAATGTTATTTAATTTTAACCATTAATAGAATTTGCTATTTAAATTTATCCCCTCCATTTTTCTGGATATTGTGAGCAAAAACAAACAATTATCACAAAATGCATAGTATACAATGGTTTGATTCACCAATGTGGCAAAGGCTTTTCACTGTCTATCCATAAAAAGGGAAATAATTTGTAAAATGTAAGACATTCTGCATCTTGAGTGTATACTTATTCATCCATGTGAAATTAAAGGTTACTTGAAATAAATGTGAAAGATTTATAGGATTTTCAGACCCCTGATAACAATTTTTGATGTGCTGATTTGTTGTACTTAAAGGTTAGGATTTTAGCAGAAATAGTGGAAGAAATTTCTGGACCTGGGATTTTGTTGCAAATGTCTGTTTAAGTCAGTTAAAAACTCTCCTGTTTCAAGATTACATGATTGCCACACCAGAACCTTTTGCATTCTATATTGTGCACCATGTTATGATTATGGTTTCAGTAATAAAAGGTGCTGACTCAAGAACTTTGCAAAATATCTCTACATACAAAGAAATAGATTGTGGTTATGTACTCCAAATAGCAGGTCACATCAGTCTTTTGTAAGGAAGTAGCAGAAATTGCTATGGTGGTTTTAGTGGATGGAGAGAAACATCCCCCAAAACCACTTTATTCTATGTGTTATGAGTTATGATAATCATTATGAACGTTTGGTCGGTCAGCAATTGTGCACCATAAAAAATAATTAGCCAGAGCACTAACTGCTAATTATTGGTATAAATCTTTTGTCTCCCTGAACATCTAACAGTGGCTATAGCTAAAATTAAAAAAAATATATTGTTGATGGTTTTGGTCAAAGTTTTGGTGGATGTTCCCACCATCCACTAAAACTACGTAACATCTGGGCACCTTTTAAATACGTGAAATATCTGCATAAAATTGCGTAAATTGTTTTATAATACTACAATCGAACAAGTAATTAATACTTACCATTTCTTGAGTAAAAATTTTTGACGCAATTTCCCAAGCAAATAATACACTTAGGTCATCGGGATAAGTCGGCATGTTGTCGTAGCCTCGTAATTTTCATTTAGTATAACAAGTCTTGAGTTGTCCATCATTCCATCTCAGTCCCTCTCGACCAAGGTGGTTTTGGTGGATGGAATCTAATGCTGACCTAATGTGTCAGACACCGTTAGACAGGAAAGTGAGATGTTGCTGTTGGATTCGGACTCGTGATCTTGTTTTCAAAGCTATATCACCAGTACTTTAAGGAGAACTATTAAGGGACAAGTGGTGGTGTTGATGACGATGGTCATAAAATAACTGACCACCAATAGGACATCTGCTGTGCCACCTTCTTCACTGGTTAAATTTGTAGCCTTTGAAAAACTATCGAGGGAAAAATTTGCCATGTATCATTGGAAACTTAATGCAACTAAACAACCATTTCTACCTGACGTTTACCATTACATAATACGGAGAAAGTCAGGTTTAATTTTTCATCTCCTGGGAATGACTACAGAGTCCACATATGCACGACAACAATACACTACAAAACTGAATCGGAAACGCTTAAGTTCGCCTAATCAGATAAATTTCTGTCAGTCTCTGCCTATAAATAAATCTTAATCCAAAAGTGACTGAAACCCATTTTTAATCCCATCTTACTTATACTGTGAAATTAATTTTTAAAAGTCCAGAATCGTTTCAGCCCAAGAGAGTCCATTCAATTGAAGTTGTGGCAACAAGAAGTAATGTCTTGATTGCCTTTTCACATAACATGCTTTAACTTCAGGAAATTATTTCGCTTTCCATGGCCAGATAAATGTTTCGTGCACGTTTAACTCATTAGTTTTCGTCCGTCAAATAAAATTTTGTATTAAAAAGAGAAAATATCAACTCATGATCCTTTGACATCTATTGTGCTTTGGCACCATGGGCTTAAAGAAAGTATTTGCATTACTGCTTTTTCATGGTCCGTTAAATCATTCGAAAGTTTAAATTTTACTTCTACAGCACAACGCCTCGCAATTTGACTCATTACACTAAGCCAGGATGCAGGAATTAGAAAGTAAACTGATTAGAATACATGTTGAGCGCAACCGCTCAGAAAATTATGAAAATTATGAAAGTTTTTACTTTTAGGAATAAGGTTGAATTAAATGAATAGCAATAAGATTAACTCGCCTGATTACTTTTTAGTTTTTATTTCCAGTACATAATGTGCAGTGAAATATTAAAGAATCACCTTCAAAGTTATTTCCTCGTTTTCGGTCCTCGCGGAAAGCTAGGCTGTTTATTGCAATTACTACCCATTATCTTCAACCTGTTTCCTTACAGCGAAGCATCATTCTATCAAAGGAAAAGAGAAATGTAAAATAGATTTCAGAGGTATGTTTCCCATAGGTAACCGATTTAATTTCCATACTTAAGATTAAGGCATTCTCTTTCCTGGATAATACGATGTGTTATCAATTAATCGCAAACCATAATTAAAGAAACTCTTACAGCAGTAAACGGGTGAAACAACATTTTCTTCATGCGTATTTCGTTTGCATCATTTGCCTCATTAGCAATCGTTCAGAAACTATTCATAATTTTCTGAGCGGCTGCACTAAACATGTGTTTATTTTTTTTTACCTTATTGCTCTCCTATCTTTGTTTCATTGATTTGAATTAAGTAAAACCACGGCACGGAAGATCATGGGACCGGTGTCAAATCATTTGATATTTTTAAAGAATCTTTCTTGAGGAACGGTGAGCTTTAAACTCAAATTGATTTACATATCAATGGCCATGAAAAAGCCGCGAAATTGATGTCAAACTAAAGAATTGGTATATGTTTTTCTTTCAATGCAAATCTAATCTAACGAACGAAGACTAATCAGTTCATGAAACACGAACCACTTATCAATCGATCGATAGCGAAAAATAATCCTCAGAAATTAAGTGATTTTTTTTTCTTCACGTACTTGTCATCACGTTCGGTCGAGCTCTCAAGCGCTGAAACTATTTTTGGCAATACGTGGAAAATCTAATTTAAAAATGACATCAATCACTTTAGGAATAGGGTTTATTAATGGCAGAGCTACAGGAAAATCCTTTTGATTAGGCGGCGTTTAGCGATTCTGATTCAGCTTTTTCCTATATTGTTGCTGGACACATGTCGAATGAAAAGTTATTCCCAGGAGATGCTTAAACCATTCTCTATTAAAGGCATAAGATTTTCTCTGCCTTTACCTGCCTCCGATTTCATGCCAGAGACAGAACGCCTGCTTAAAAAAGTTGTTCTGAGACACATACTTGTCTCGCATATAGCCTCCAAATCGACATGGTAGACGTTTCCTTGACCAGTTTTACAAACTTTACAAACAAAACTAGCAGAGAAGACGACACAGCAGATGTACCTCCAGTGGCTGGTGCCATAATCATAATCATCATTAACACTATCACTTGTCCCTGCACAGTTCTGCTTAACGTACTTGTGATAAAGGCTGTGAAAACGACGCCTCGACTCCGTACCAACAGCAACATCTTGCTGGCCTGTTTAGCGGTAACTGATGCCTTAACTGGTATCCTTGGCCAGCCATTCTTTGTCCTTTGGAAGATATTCCTATTATTCGGTCTCAGTAACAGTAAAACGTTTGAAAACTGCTACTATGGAACTGTAATCATGTTGCTTATAGCTTCATACCTTCATCTGATGTTGGTTACTTTTGAGAGACTCGTAGCCATTAGATTTACGATGCAATACCCAAACATTATAACTGAGAATAACATGAAGATAGCTGTGTTAGTAGTTTGGATCATTTCTTCTATTTGGGGGATTTTTGAGGCGATGGAATTGGATCTAGCGCTACGTTTTATGTCTGGCTCTGTTACTTCTTCATGTATTATTTTCCTTTGTGTCGCTTATTTCATCATGTATCGTGAAACACGTCGTCACCAAGAGAAGATAAAAACTCAACAACTGCCCCAGGAAGAAGTGGAAAAATTCACCAAAGAAAACAAAGCGCTTAAGACAACTTTATATGTAATTTGTGCTGTTCTTTTTTGCCTCCTTCCACTTTGTTTCTGTCTTATAGTTACAGCTACAGGCCTTTATGCGTCTTGCCCCATCGATCTGTCATTGATGCAAACTTTTACCATGTTTAACTCGCTTGTTAATCCACTGATTTACTGTTGGAGACAAAAAGAAATGAGAAATGTCATTTTTGGAATACGAACCCAGGTCGCGCATATAAACAACCAGTGAAGGAAGGCAATTTAGAAGAGAGTGTCAAAACCTTTAATACTACACATCTAAACTTTGCCAATGATTCATTTGATGTTCGCGTGGTATTAAACTATACTCCATGCTAAAACCAGACACCTCGGTAGTGGTTATCAAATAAGCTAAAGATCAACTAAATATTTTGCAACAATGCATTGCTATTTTTAAGAAACCCTCTACTATGGCGTGCATGTGTTTCCACTTATCCTTTTCTTGTGCATGAATTAAAGTCATGATTCTTATTAATTGTGGGTAAAATTGATGCGTTTGTTAATTTTTATTTGAAAATAATAAAAGGTAACAGGTAAAATAGGGTAAAGAAAACCCAAAAGAGTTGTGCGAAGGTAAATCGCCTTTTTTACCGCATTAAAGTGCTCGTGACACGATATATTTTTTGCGTAAACATTTAGCTTATAATTCCAAACCAATTCCGATGGAAGAAAAATTTCCAAAAACTTAAAAATCGGTATTTTCAGGTCCTAAAATGCTCTTGTTTTGTCTTAAAAGTGTCCCGTGGACTGGTAACGAATTAGCGGGTGATGTCGTAGAAAACTGTGAAAACTCTCAGTTGAGACTTATAAATCTCTAACATTCTTGCAATGTTGTATCAGTCAGCGTTGAAATACTCTTGACATAATGTCCGATAGCGATGTCCACCTACTTTCGGCAAGCTCTTCTCAAGAAGTAAAGAAGAAATGGAAGGTGCAAGTATAGTTCAGCCCCACGAAGAAGAACCGCGTGTATCAAACGAAGATTTCGACGAAGGGCGACAAAGACGGTTTCTCACCAGCGGTGTTCAGGTCAAGATCAGAACGAAAAAGCTCCCGTTTTGTTTGTTGCGTTTTTGTTTTCTTTTCTATGTTAAGAATAGGTAACTATGTTAGTTTCTGTTTCCATAACATTTTATTCCCTCACACTATGTGCGGCGAAGGTTTCCCTTAGTTAGTGCTCTAGAGTTTCCTTGCTGTAGAGTAATTCCCTTAACAAACCAAAAGCTGACCTTTGACGAAAAAATCAGCTTTATCACGAGGTACGATGATTTTTCACTAAGAAGTCATCGGGCAGTTTCACTGCAAGTTGCTCCTTTCCTCAGAGATTGGAAAGGCAGAGGCAATCTTCCGGTCAAACGGAAAACGAGTGAGTTTATAGTCAACTGATTCGAGTTAATCTCAAAAAGGGATTTTAATTAAAAAGAAAAGAAACTTCCCTAGTTTAAGCACAGCATTGCCATATGACGCATTTCGCTCAACAGTAAATAACTGACATCAGTATTGTAAAGGAATATTTCGTATGGATCGACTGCCACGCAGCACTTGGATTCGCCACCATCTAATTTAAAAAAATAGTGCTGTTATCACATCGACATTGCTACTGTTGTTACTTTTAGTTTCTTGAGGGCAGGAGGGAACTGATGGCTCGTGGGACGGATTTTCGGAAACCTAGGTTACAATAATACATGGCCCCTTCGAGCTTGTGTTTATGCCAGTATCCGCCAGAGGTTTCGCACCGTTTACGCAACAGGATATCAGTCAGCTCAGGAAAGGGCGCGAACTTTGATACAAATGATGTATTTCTGTTATTAAAATATATAGGAAAAGTACAAATGTAGTCATGTGGAAAAACAAGGAATATGATTACATCTCAAGCGCGTGAGATCAACAACAGTAAGGAACTCACCATTCTTCGCTTGCGAAATGTCAACCAAAAAGGATGCTGAACAATCGTGTACGGTGTGAGAACAGGCCCCTTTGATCAGCATTATTTTTAGCTGAATTCATTAGTTATCTTCCCCTGATTTGAATGG